AAAAAAAAGATTGGTTCTATTCGTATTTTTTTCGAAAAACTAATCATTTCTACTTTTTTCGTACCCACAAAGTCGTACAGTTAAACTCAGCTCTACGAAATGGTACACTGACGCTCTGGATGGGCTTATTTCCGAAGTAATTGACTTTTGAGAGCTCCTGTGTGTACGACGTCAGCAGTGGCGTGTGCTAGGCACTGTAGGTGTCCAAAGGGCAGTTGTTGTCACTGAGGACAGTCTGCGAACTGTAAAGTAGGTACATTCTTTCGAATTTCTCGTTTTTTGGGTGTACGCTACAAATTTTTGATAGAATCTTCAGTTTGTCTAGGTAGATTTTGATGTTAATGATGCCACGTTAACGTAGAGCTACTCAATGTTAACTCGACTTACATAGCATTGCACCATTAAACAGACGGACAGTAGATGGAAGATGGATAGAGGAAGTTAAAGCGTGCTTCAGGCAGTACCTAGAGAGTGAAACTATGTCCTTGATATCGGGACTGTGTGACAGGTACAGGTACCGACTTCATTTGTATTGGGTAAAAAAACGTTTATTACCCTCACAGGTTTAAATTTTGGACTGTTATGTTGCGCTTCTCTTAAAAAAATCGACTGAACGCCGCTAGACAATTTCACCTATTTTTTTTTTATTTAAGAGAGGGCTATGACTTGCAAAATTTCAGCGACAACAGATAAACGCTGTTTAGTGGCTCCTCGGCATGACCAATTCGGTGTTTTTTTGAGTAAGCGGAGCCTTAATCAAAGCTCTTTGTTCCACACTTCATCCTATACTAAACACTCGTTAATCAACTGAACTAATAATTAAATTTTTATTTTCTTCTCTATATACAGTGTTCATTACAGTCAGTCTAACTCAGCAAGTAAATGCGATCTCGCAGGACAACTGCAGTAAGCCGCGTCTTCGCCGGGATGTCCTCGAATTCCTCGTGATCCCGGTCTGCCGTCAACACCTTGTTCACCTGGATTTCCCACTTCACCGGGCTCACCCGGTAGTCCCATAAGTCCTGGTTCTCCGTACGATCCGTGGGGCCCAGTAGCTCCAGGATCACCAGGCAACCCTGGCGGACCTTGTGGACCTGGTAATCCTTTTCCGCGGAATCCTAGCCGACCCGGAACTCCTGGATATCCCGGTTCTCCACGTGGTCCGTCAGGTCCTTTGTCTCCAGGTGGACCAATAAGGCCAATATCACCATGACGTCCAGCTCTGCCTTCAGTTCCCATCCATCCAGGCCGGCCTGGGTTGCCTCGCGGCCCTTCGGGTCCAGGTGGTCCCATCGGGCCAATAGGGCACACAATACATCCGTGGGTAGGATACTGTGCAATAACTGCTTTACCGGTGAGACCTGGGTGACCGTCTTCTCCTGGTATACCAGGATCTCCAGGTGCTCCGCGTTTTCCTCGACGTCCAGGTGGTCCAACTGGACACATAAATGTGTCCAGGACGCTTTTCTCGAGGTCGTCAAGATCGGCCGCTTTTGGATAGCTACGTCGCTTTGTCCTCTGGGATGGGGATAGTTTGTTTTCGTTGAACATTACATCCCACGCACGATCGGAATATTCCTGAAAGTGAAAGCAGTTAATTACAGTCGTTTCTTGGGGGCATGGGGACAGCACATGCCCACGCGCGAATGAGACGAATTCGTTTCATTGACTACTTCACTTTCTCTATCCCCTGTGGTTCAAAAAACATAGTTTCTTTAGCGTTTTGCTTTTTTGTTTTTTAATTACTTCTTTGTGACTGGAGTGGTGATGCGGAAAGTGTTGCGCTATCTCACATGCATGGTTCTGGGATTGAATCTTGGATCGATCGTTACCCAAACTAACAAAACCTTATCCCTCCTGAGTCGATTAGTTGGTACTCGTCTAGAAGTGCATAACACTGGCTTGTAGATCGGCTGGCCGCCGAATGTTATTGTACAGGCGACATACGCATTCAAATGTCACTACGATTTTGAATGGTAATCGAACGCTGGGCGCATCCTAGTGAAGAGAACGACTACCTCCGGAGGCTTTTTATTTTTCACTTTTACTTTGTTCATTAAGATGTGACCCCAAAAATTTTAATTTTCAATAATATCGCTTCTTTGATAAAAAAAAAGGAAGAAAATGAAAAGTGAATTGTATGGATTGAAAATAATTGAAATTGGCCAAAGAAGTGTTTTCTGGTACACTCAGTCAAAAGATCGAGCCTTACCAGGGTCAAATACGCTTTCTACTCAGCCAGTACTTCCAGCCCAAAGTAAAACGCAAGGTAGTACGACGACATGTAACTCCCCCGTCTGAAATGTAGAACCCTTTCCCCAGGGATGCGCCATGCATCGAATCTTCAAAAAGTATCGTGAAGACATTTGTACGGAGTTTAAGCTATGGCTTGGTAGCTGCATTCGTTGGGTTTTGCGTAGGTGATTCTGGTCACGAGACTACATAAACTTTTAATTCCGGAAAAGCTAATATTCTGATTGACTTAGACAAAATCCCATTTGGGATTCGACTTTGAGCGGCGGTATGACCCGCTCCTTACCCCTGACTCACTGTAGCTGAGCTTATAAATACAGAGTTTTCAGTTTTTTCTTTGAACCTCGGCGATTCCTACTGGACCTTACTTGGTAGCGAAATGGATCCTACCCAACCCAAAGTCTTTCTTGCCAAATTCAAATGGCTCCAATGAAGGCCTTGTTCATCGTATGTCATCGCAACATTCCATCCAAGCGAATAATTCAAGTACGCTGATGTCTTCTGACAGCGATCTTTCTTTAGGAAAGCAGGATATGGAAAGGGAAAATTAGAAAAAAACGAAGGCGAGACGAAGGTTAAGCATCTCTGGTCACCCATCCAATTTGGGTCAGCAACTGGATAGGGTTCGATTTTGTCCCTTCAGGAAAAAGACGACCGCCGGCTTTAAAATCGTATTCCCAATGAGATATTACTGAAGGGATATCGACCACACAACTGACGTTTGATGGATTGGAGCGACCGTCCGAAGGATTTACAATTTTCCAGGCTATTAATCTATTTATCTATTTGATTTATTCAAGATATCGTGATCGCCAGAGGTGGTTTAGTGGCAAATGGCGCACTTCACACACCTATGGTCACATGTTCGAATCCTGGATCAATACCTACCCAAGCCAACCAGACCTTTCATCCAAACGGGATCGGTTACTTGGTGCTAGACCGTTTGAGAAGATAAGGCTTCTGAGAGGATAGAAGTACTGACTTGTACATCGGCTGACAACCGCAAGTCACTGTATAGGCGACATACGCGTTCAATACGCCACTACGATTCTGAGTGGAAGTCGAATGCGTGGGCGCATCCTCAGACGAGATTTTTTGACGTCCCTTTATCCTTCTATCATTTCCTTTTACCGACTACTCACGATCACTTTGCACTCCATTCTACCAAGACTGCCGAAGTCCCACTCACAAGAGCTGATTAGGAATCGCAGAATAAAATGGCCAATGGAAGAGTTACCTACATTCGATCTCTAGTTCGGTGTGCTGATAAGCAGATTCTTCGGCCTTTTCCAGTCGAACACCCTGTGGCTGTTGCATTCCACAGTTCCTAATCAGCTCTTATCAATTGTTATCAATATCCGCCACCGAGATCCATGATCTCGTCACACTCCACACTACCTAAAGTGCTAAGATTCCACCGCTGAGACGAAGAATGCAACGGACCCGGTGGCGTTGTTCCAACGGCGTTATCTGCTGTCGCTATCAGCTCCTGTCACCAGGCATCTGCTATCCCACATATCACCCACAAGAGTGCAAGGGTTTCACCATCGAGACAAAGGGCGTAACAGACCCAATGACTCCTACCTGCTATGGTCCCCTCGGTTGTTATAGTAGCAGTCTGGGATTGCAGTTAGGAAAGTCATGAATTTTCGGTTACACGCCAACACGTTTCAAATTAAACCCAGTAGAAGTATCGGAAAAAGATAGAAAAACCCTTCATCCTAGAGGGAGTCTTTTTTTTTGGAGGTGATTTTCTACTCAGTGACAAATTACGGTAATAAGAATGAGTATTTGGACGAGATCGCACGTTTGTATGATCATTAAAGGCATAGTATCAAAATGGCTCAAGAGATATCCCGCTAAAATAAACATGTGGCTCCCTCGTACACCATGTTTGGCGCTATGGGGTCGGAAAACGGCCTAGGCAGGGCGTCATAAAGGCTCAAAGATTGTCCCGTGTATAAGCTTGGACGAGTTTCAACGGCATTGTAGAGGCTGCACAGTTCACAAGGGAACCTGTGTAGGAAGTTGAAAGAACTTGCATGACCCATAGCGACAGTGGAAGGCAATTCTGAACAGTTTTGGCTTGGTGTACTCAGCTCCTTACGGAATTGCAGCAAGTGAAATCTCGTCCAAAAGTTCTTTCATGTCAATTCCGTCAATTCCGTCATGGTAATCTCATACAACCTCTGTTTTCACTACTTTTGAGAAGCCTTATTTTTCGTGAAACCGGCGTCTTTCCTCGCTCCCTTCACCACCGATGCAGCTGGTCCCAACCAATACTTCCGCCTTTTGCCTTAAGAAGGGTAACTCGAAGTTAATGTGAATTGTGTCTTTAAATATTTCTTCCTAATGTCAGTTTGCTGGAAAAATTGCAGTCGAAGTTACTTTATCATGACCAAGCCCACCTTTTAGTCGCTATCGAATGGAGAATAAAAAATACGCCTCTCAGTTCCCATAGAACTAAAACATTGGAATAGCTATTCGCAATTTGGAAAATCGTACCCACAGAGGGAACTGCCCTTTCAACCTGGAGGATAGACTCTACCCCTTTTAAGACGTTAACACCAATCTGAAAGGTTGCAGAATGCGAGGCGCATCCTTGAAGGATCGGGTTATGCTCCTCGCTCAAGTCCTCCATTCATTCTCGTTATGTGAAGGGCCGGAATGGTTTACAATATTTGTAAATTTGACCCTAAACTTGTAGCGCCATTCTGACAAGTATGGAAGTAATGAGTGGAGCGTTCGTTACTCACCTTAAATTCTCTTAAGTCGTCCATAGCGCCATCGTACAATCTGTTAATGTCTATAATAATCAGAACAGTACATACTACGGCCAATACTGTAACGATACCGGAAGCGGCAGAAGCGAAGGCGACAAAATAGTGCTGTCCCATGGTCGCGCTTTCGCAGGCTGTTCTATGTTCATCACCGCATCGCTCCTTTAATAGGGCAGCAAGCAGGTGTTTGTGATAGGGTGGGGCAGACGGGATTTGGATTAATTTTGTGTCGAGTGAAACTTTCCGATGACATCAGGGTATCCTCTCACCTTTCACACCTGTACCGGCTCCACGTTCCCATGAATCAAGACATCCTCCAGTCGAACCGGATTGCTGCATATTATCGATGATAGATATGATTAATAACTTGATTTTTTGGTTTGAATTGACACCTCTGTTGATTTCTTGCTCCGATATTCTTTATAGATGGGAACGGGTTGCGCATTAGTTTTAGCGCTCTTCAAAAATGTTGCAGGGGATTCGCGTGCTCGGATGTAGCACCCCCTCCCCCTCCCTCCCAAACCTTCAGCACCCACACGAGATAATTATAAAGTCCAAAGGATAAAATCCTGGTCATTAGGTAATTCCGTCGGAGGGGTGCGCCCTGAATTCGACTGCCATTCATGATCGTAGTGGCGTATTGAATGGGTATGTGGTCTATGCAATGACTTACTGTGGCCAGCTGACGTACAAGTCAGTGCTTTTTATCCTCCCAGACGAGTTGGTACCAATTAGCCGATCCCAGAGGGATGAGAGGCTTGGTTGGCCTAGATGGATACCGACGCGGGATTCGAACACGTGACCACGCGTGTTTGATAGTGCGCCACTCGGCACTACACCACCTCGGCCTATTCGAGATAATTATAATTTTATAATATTTTTAAAATTTCGGATCGCGTACTGGGGCGATATAACAGCAGTTGACAAAGCAATAAGCAAATTATATAATTTGTATATTAATAAATATAATACTAAATAGTACAACAGTGTAGGTACATTGATATACGGTTTAATACAGAGTAAGGACCAAGTTTTCGGTCCTGATCGAGCCCGTTTTTTGGATGCCCCCCTTCACTCGGCTTCCATTCATTTTTGTAAGGGAGTATGAATGCTTAGAAGGCCCTATACATAGAATGGCCTGTGACGGTGATCAGCCTGTGACAGGTCAGTGTTTTTATCCTCCCAGACGTGTCTGGACGTCTCTAGAGGATACGAGAATTACGCTTTAGCTGCTTTCTCATAGATTTGAGAGTCATCTCATTCGTTCAGGCTTTTGATTTATTGTCTAGCGATAAGGATAGGATAATTAAGGTCATTCCGCACTTAGGACTTTGCGTTTAATGATGAAAAAAGGCGGGCGAATGCGATACAAAGCAATCATGAACATCCTTGCAAGGGTTCCGAATGTTTCACCTTTGGGTTACAGTACCACCTGCTTTTCTTTTTGGTACCCTCAGAACATAAGGACTCATCAAATTCGCATGACCATGGTGTCTGATTGGAAACAACTGGTCACCAACCAACACTATCCTACAGAATTTGATATATAGAAAACCAGAACCATTCGCTTACTTATTTGCTTGTTTATTTACTAAGCTAATGCTCCAGTTGCTTATTTTCTTATTTGTCTACTGCTATTTATGAAAACGTTGTGTAAAAAGCCTTTAGAAAAGAAACTTCATTGTCAGCAACAAATGTAAACAAAATAAGAAATTGAAAGCAGAAACTTGATCAAATATATCATTAGGATAGGCTTGACTACTAAGAGTCTGAAGATCAGCCAAGAAACAGGACACGACTAGATTTAATTTATCGCCACACAAATGGGCGGAGGTGGCATAGGGCCAAGTGGCGCTTCTATCGCTTGAATCGGGGACCATAGATCTTGGATCGATCCTGGCCGTAGCCAAAGAATGCTGCTGTTCTCTCGAGGCCGATGGTGGTACCAGACCCGTCTGCAAGGATAGGGACACTGATATGCACTTTTGTATGGCCACTCAAGTTATTGCATAAGCCAAGTGCGTCTGTATCGGTCACTACCGGCTCCTTACCGGAAGTCGGCAGCGTGGAACGCGCATCACAACACAAAACAGGTTGATTGACGATTGAAAAACCCTTCGGTTTTCAAGATTCATACGTAAGTACGCAAGACAAGCGGCTGGGAAACATGAGCCTGGATGTAGTTAAAGCCAAGGGAAATGCTGCAGTAGTCGATCACACACACTGTTGGGCAGGGCGGGACTGCAGCACCTAGAAGTATGTAAATATAAACAACAGGTTCATATCTGTGGTGACTGTTCTACATGCCTAAATCGAGGGCCCGGTGCCTGAACTGATGATAAGAAAGTTTAATCGTTTTTTAGCCATTGATATATGTACTTCGCTGCATGGACCATTTCTTCTGTTAAGGTTTTTTGAATCCTTTCTTCATCCCCTGCGTTTTTAGTGGTCCAAAAGAATTAGAGGGAGGGCAAGTGAACTGCGCAAATGTGTTTGAGTGCAGTCAATGACTACTAGGCTGACATAGATTTTGTAGTGTGGTATGACCAGACCCTCACCCCTTATCGTTAGAGCTTCAAAGTCCTGGCAGGCGCTGTAGATGGTTTTTGGAGTAGCCTCATTCGAAGGGAAAAAGGTTCATCACGGTAACTGAAATTCCATTACTGTAATGGAATCCATTACTGTATGCAAAAATTAGAATTTTAACGTTTGCGTCGGTAATAATCTCCTACCGATCGAAGTCTTTAAGGCTGAGTTGTCCCACGCTTCCAGATACCTTCAGGAATTCAGATCGGACGATAAACGGATGTTACAAATCACTCATATTCCTCTGGACGTTGGCCCCAAACTTAAACTTTAATTATGTAGGTTCCCATATACCATATTTACCAAATTATGAATGCACGAAATGAAGAAATGTTTCCTTCTACAAGTAGCCACCACTGACCTAAAAGCTCCACATAGCTCGCTCCGCTCCATTGCCGGTTTGCTTTTTGTTGAAGTTATTGGGACGGCCACTTTTGTATTTGATACGGTAAATGCTCAGCTAAACTTGGCTATAAAACCCCTTTTTCTCAAAAGCGGTTCAATATGCTTCCGAGAGACTTGAAAGTCTAGTCTGGTGCCCTTTCTTTTTCGGATGCCTCTACCATCAATTACTCGTTAGTTACGGTTCCGTTGAATGAAAGCCGTCCTAAGGCGATTTCCTGCTCAGAAAAGTACTCGAATAGGAGGAAGTGACTACACGAGTGAGCTGCTTTTAAAATAGGGACCATTTCTCTCCCGTATGTTCGAGTAGCTGTGCTAATAGATATGAGTTCAGCTGATTGAGGAAGTTTTTCGGTGTAATAGCTCGTACTGGTTACGGTAGTCCCAATTTTGCACCAGCATTTTTTAAAGGTTAATTGAGAATTGTTTGCTATCGTTTCCAGGGGTTTTATTTGTTGAATCCACTCATCTTTATTGGTAGATCGTCTTCATTTTCTAATTTGCCTTGTTTCATTGTTTTTTGTTGTTTCTGTCTCGATTTCCTTCTTGTAACGAGGATCGTTTCATTTTTTGCTTGATTCCACTATTACAACCCCAAAAACTCGAAATTTTAATTTGCGGTGAAACTTCGCCTATAGGGGTAATCCGATGCCCTGATAACGAATATGACTTTCATTTTTGGCACTGGCGCCATTTGGCGCCAATTGGCGCCAATTTGGAGCCAAGGGTATTTTCACCAAATTTGCTGAAAACTTGCGTTTAGGGGTTATTTGAGGTCCTGATAACGAATATAACATCCATTTTACGCGACAGGTGTGGGGGAGAAGATGTGACCCGAGGC